ATCTGCCCACCCTGAACTTGTATTGTCAGCACAGTGTGTTTGTTTTTAACAACTATGGGAGAGGCAAGAACAGAAAATACTGTACACTGGTGGGTTTTTTCTTCCATCCCAAAAAATCAATACAAATGATAAATTACAAAAGGAGAAAGAAAGGGCATTGATATTAAATTATTTGGCTAATAAATATGACTTAACTGAGCAAAGTGCCTTCTAGAAAAAAAAGCAAAGTCCTTACCCTTTAATCTCTTACTGGGATTTTTCCCCATGTTACTTTTTGTTTTTCTAAACAAGTTTACTGTGCTGTGCTTTTCAACATAAACAAAAACATTATATAGCCCACTAATATACTAAGAAACATGAGAGAGGGCAAATTCCTTAGGTTGCTTCTGTCGTCAACTCTTTCCTCCAGTTACTGACAATCAGCCAAATTTGGGGTATAGTTGCTCAGGTAGAAACAAGGGAAAAACCCAGCTAAATTTACTTCTTGTAGTCAAATTCCACTGAAAACTAATGTATTGCTTTCAATAACAGCAAAACTACCATCCTGTTCAGGCTGACTACAGAGAGTAACCTCCCACTAACCAAAACAATTAAGCAGCTGTGGTATTTTTAATTTATTATACTATGGGCTTGCATTCAGACACAGTCCATTTCTTTAGAATGATCTGCTGAAGTGGGCTGTATGTCCACAAACAACCAAAAACCCTTTGTTATAAATCGTTCCCACTGAACTCAGTGGCGCTTACATCCGGATGTATATACATAGAATCCCACTGCACTTCACGGATCATTTTAATCGGTGTAGAACCACTGTATGTAAAGCATCGCAGCTACTACTTAAGGCAAAATAAACAGTGAATTTTGATCATATCACCTTGCTCCTGGCTCTGATAGCCTCTAGATTCATAAATGCCTTTCAATATCTCATATTCCTATAGGCATACATGGAAAAGGTAATGCCTTTCATAGTTTAAAAATTGTTTTATTTGTGATCCTGAAGAAATGCAAAATGTTTCTTCCATACTATCCAAACATTCTTACAAAATAAACTCTGGCACACCATAAATCACTAAAAATGGTTACTTCAAGGAAAATAAGTGTCTGAATCTCTTTTGTAAGGCAATGGTCACCATTTAAGAAACCTACTGGATACACTGTTGCTGAGGTATAAGAGAATAAACATAAAGCAAACAAAACAAAACAAAACCCCTGAACGGTTTCTCAGCCATAAAGGAATTCTTGCTTTAAAGGGCTTTGTAAAAGAAATGTAAAACTCACATGGCCCAGAATACTCACACACATTACAAATGCCTCTCTTCTGCATTAACAGCAGTCATGTGTCAACAAAGCCCATACAAAAGAGGCTCCAGATTCATTAAAGCCACAATAAGAAAATGTGGGTTTTTAAGAAAGGAAGTAAAAAGTAGTTGCACATCTCAAAGTTCACCTCGCCCGCAGTGAACTAGCTGGATGTGTCCGATGCAGACCCCATGCCCCCACTTTGGGATCACAAGTGGTACTCAATAAAGTATGACTAACATAAATGTTTGGGGGTTAGGAAGTGCTATAAATTCTAACTTTCAAAAGAATCTTAGACTTCCATTCTATTTTTTGGAACTTTGCTATTCCATGTATTTGTAGAAAATTTGCTCTGGTTTATCACACATTTCTCAGGCAATGGTGCTTTCCTAAAGGAATACAGTACATCAAATCTTTCCCCATTACCCACCTGATATTCCTCTCCCAGTCAGGCTATTCATACAATTGGCATCAGTATCAATTTGCTGTTTTAGAATCATTTTACTTGTGACTGTTGTAATTTGTGGGCTTAAATTCTGAAGTTAATAAAAATAAGCATCTGTTCTACTTAAGCCATATCTTACCTTCATACCCTGTTTATCACTGCTGGCGCTTTTACTTCTCTTTCTAGAAAATTATTGAACCTGTTTTTATTCATGTCACTCCACAGTGCAGGGTCTTCCACTGAAAATAAGGTCTGACATGCAAAGCGCACAGCAGATAACAAAATGAAATAAAACACACACCTTTGAGGCTGCAATCCTATGCATATTTGCAAGGAGTAGCTCCCATTCAACTCAAGACTGCTTACTGTTGAATAGAAATGTCAGGATTGCAGAGTTTGCCAAGTGTATACAATCCTACACACATGCACCTGGGAATAAATCTAACTGAATCCTGTAGGGCTTAATGTCTAGTAGACATCCTATGTTTACTCTGTTAAAACATTTGCAAAAATAGTGGTGGTTGGGAAATGGTGGCTCTCCTTTGCTGGAGAGACTTGATCAGAGGTTGGACAGCCACCTGTCAGGAACATTGCTGTGGCAGGATTCCTTAACTAATCAGGGGCTTGGAGCTGATGAATTCTGAGGTCCCAGCCAACTCTAAAATTCTAAGAGCTTAGACTTTTTCAAGGTGCAAACTAATTCTACAGCCTTAAATATTTTCAGTCTTTTGCTAGTCTGCCTTAAGTGTTATCCCATTATTTTATTCTTGATTTCATTTTGTATGCATATGTATTTTCTAAAGGTACATTTTGTAAATATCTTATTTATACTTCTGATTCTTCATGTGTAATGTTGTAAAGTGATTATCTGCTCTCACATGTTCTTATTGTTTGGCAGTATATGTTATGTACAGATGATAAAATCTACATTTTAGGCTATTGCCTTCCTTATAAATACAGTATATAAAAGAATCAGTGCTGGATTTTTGTTGTTTTTAGATACTCGTATAAGAACTATCACTCTGATAAAAACTGTTTAATCCAGATATATGTTTAAGGAGAAACTTTTTCTTAGTCCTATATTACACCACAAAGCATCACCTTCCAGATGTTGCTCAATCTGGTGTAAATTAGAGTGTCTGGCTGAGATGGGAGGGGAAATTCATATTCCAGCCTCTATGGAGTCATTACTCACTGGGTGATTTGGGGCTACCCACTCACTGACTGAAATCTTGTTGCTTAGCATAGTAAGTCACATGGAGTAGGCCCATTGAATCAGTGGGAATTTGGTGAGTCAACTCCTGCATAAATTCTACTGATTCACGTGAGCCTATTTTCGTTGTGACGATATGCTAAGCAACAGAATTTCAGCCATTCTCTGCTCGGTCTACATCAAAGAATTGTTGTGAAGATAACCATAGTAAAAGACAAGTAATTTACTTTGTCCTGAGCTTACTGAACTTACTAATAAATATTCTGATCACACCTCACTAGTGGTCAGGCTGGCTGATGGCTTGAGTTGGACAGTCACAACTGCACACCTGTTGTACAGCAAGTTCAACTGCATTCCTACATAAATCTCTTTAGGAGTAAAGATTCTTGAATTTCATAGGACTTACTTCTGAGTAAGCAGGCACATAGTGCTGTGCTGCCAATATAAACCAGACAATGGATATGCCTCCCATTATACTTTTAACCATTCCAGAATGAATGTTAATTCCAAGCTACAACTAGAAGACATTCCCAAAATATTTTTTAAAAGTTATCCTCGTGCCATAATCACTCTTTTAAAATTATTTACTAGAAACTTTAGGGCATACAGAGATACTAACTTTAAAAGAGAAAACAAAACAATCTAAACTGCTCCCATCTGCTTGGCAGCAATTACATTTTCTTTAGGTTCTGGAGGAGACAATTACACCACTTTTTCAATGAATGCTATGAATTCTCTAGTCTTGTGTATTTGGGTCAACAAGGTTTTACAGCTATTGATATCCACAATCCTCGTTATAAAAGAAATGCATATTTAAGACACAAGGAAGAAGTTATCAATGGTTCCAGTGTAAGATAGCAGAACACAGGAGTCTTTTTAGAGACTGCTGACTTAGAAAAAAAGTCAGGCAAAATATGGCTTCTGTGGCTCCAAAGAGAGCAAAAAGATGCTGTTGCAAGGGAGAAGGTCTTACTACAAGAAAGCTCCTACCACTTGCTGAGCCAGTAAATCTCAATGAACTGCATCCCACTCCATATTGCCAAAAAGGGTTTGCCATGTATAATAGCCCTCTACCAAGCTTAATTTATTTAGACAAAACATCTCATCCTTCTAAGTGAAAAGTTAGGATATCTGAGACAAGGCTAACTGCTGTTAAGTTTTGATATGTGGGATACAGAGCAGCATTTAGTACATGCAGAATATTTAATATATCGACTGCATAGCTCAGTGAGTTGGGCACCTCAGGAACTCGATCCCCTAAAAAAGCCAACCTTGTTGGGGGAACATGCCGAATAATTCCAGAATCCTCCCGGTGAGGGGGGAGGGAGGGAATACTGAACTACTTCTGAGTCCCTTATCTCTAGGAAACCCTGGGAAGGCGTCCTATCGTTGTCATTTATCATGAAAGATATCATGAAAAGGCTGGAAGGGCAAAGTCCTATTTCCTCTTCTTAACTAACGCTTGTCAGGTGAGGTTCGTTTTAGTCCCGGCAGCTCGAGAATGGTCGGGAACCCACTTGTGAGTCCTTTATGCTTTAAAAATCCCGAAAAGTATCGCCCTAAGCCAGCCCCTTGCAAGTGTTTTAAGTGGAGTGGAGCCAGGTAGGTAGAATCAGGGCCCCAGGGCTTCAGAGCCCTGCGTAGCCGCGAGAACTCGGCTCCCCATGTTTTTAATACTTTTGTTAAAACTGAGCATTCGGTACGCTCCGTGCCGGGCCGCCTGACTCCTCCATCCAACAGATTCTCCCAAGCCCGCATCCTGTGTCTGATTCCGCTCCACCCATTCCAACCAAACAACACGATCGGTGCGAAAGGACGAAGGTCGCCCCTCTTCTTCTTTTTTAAACCCCCTGCAACCAAAAGAAGGCGCTACACGCGGACCAGAATTCGATCGGCCAATGAGGGCACAGAGACACGGAGCGCGAGCCGCTTGTCTAACAGGGCGCATGCGCACCCTCCCCTCAACAGCGTTTTAACCGCCTTTTTACGTCATTATTCTACGACCCTCTCTCTCCCGCGGAGGAGAGCCCGCGCGCGCATTTTACGTCATTATTCTACGACCCTCTCTCCCGCGGAGGAGAGGCCGCGCGCGCACACGATGGAGCAGTTGGCTTCCGAGCTGTACGAGGTGGAAGCGGTGCGCTTCGGGGAGTTTGTGCTGAAGAGCGGGCTCGTTTCCCCGGTCTACGTGGACCTGCGCGTCGTCGTCTCAGCCCCAGCTCTGCTTAACAAGGTAACGGCTTCGCGGGGAGGTGGCCGTTATAACGGGGGGGGGGAAGGGAGGAGATAGAAACGGATTCGCCTTGTTTCTTTACCACAGCTTTCCCCAAGGCAGGTCCCTCCCGAGGTCTCTCTGTATTACAGCGGTTCCCACCACCTGCAACACGGCCAGAGAGCGGGAAGGAGGAAAACCGGAGCCTCAGGTGTCTCTCTCTAGACGACGCGTCAGGGACCGCCTCACGGCTGGTCCGCCCAAGGCGCCGGAAACCTGTTCGTTTCAAGGGAGGAGTCGAAGCTCGGCCCTCTCCCCGTGTGTGTGTGTGTGTGTCTTTCTTTCAAATGTTTTAAAAAATGGGGGCAGGGGCGAAGAAGGCCTCCTCTGTGGGACGGGGGGTACTTAAGGCGGCTGGCTTTCAATTTTGGCCCTAGCGCTTGCTTTTGGTGACCTCCGGGTGTTGGAAAATGGGGAGGAGGAGGAGAGCGTGGTGTGATTCTTGGTCTTTCCCTATGTTGGTGGGCCATTTTCAACTAACTCAGGAGCCCTTCAATTTGCCTGTATGATTTATTTATTTATTTATATACTTGCACGCCACTCTTTTCTCTGAAAAGATAGCAGTCAATGTGGCTTACAAAGTTATTCAAGGAAATGAAACCCCAAAGCAAACTTTTGGCTTGCATTTTTAATAAAATTAATTTGTGTTAGTTTAATTCATAACATAAAAAAACTTCCCCACTGTAAAATCGTAAAAACCAGCAGAATACTTTAAAAAAACCGTAGCAAACAGTTAATGTTACAAATGATGTGGATTAAAAAACAAGGCAGGGCTGTTAACCCTCAAATGCCACTCTAAAACAATACATTTTCATTTCCTTCTTTAAAGCAGGCAGAATGGGAATTTGGAAATGAATGCATTCCATGGTCATGCAGGAGAAGGCTGTTGCCATTTCTAAGAGGGTATCTTTTGACAATCTTAAAAGTCCTGAGAGGCTCATAAGGTAGCTAGGATTTTAACTGTGTTAAAGGGTTTCCATAAAGGCCTTTTATCAAATAGTTATCAGTTGAATCAAAAACAGCATTCAAATGGAAAGCTGAGATTATCAAGTTGCATTTGTAACAAATTGCATGCAGTGTCTTGTATCCTCACCAGACAAGTGGCTCCTCTGGGAATCTTTTGCTATAATTGTTAATGTTCTGAGATGCTACAAGAATAGGGACAAAGGGTTATTTTTCACTATGTGTAATCAGCTCATCAGTGCAGAAAAATCTGTGAGCCAGGTTGCACATAATATATATGGCATATAATTTAGGTTCACTTAATTTTATTTAGAGCAGTGGTTCTTAACCTTTGTTACTCAGATGTTTTTGAACTGCAACTCCCAGAAACCCCAGCCAGCACAGTTGGTGGTGAAGGCTTCTGGGAGTTGCAGTCCAAAACTCCTGAGTAACTCAAGGTTAAGAACCAGTGATTTAGAGTACACATGCTTTTCCTATGTTTTCAATTAGTACCACTGCATGAGGAAAAGGGTTAAAAAATTTCCCTCTTCTGGTTTTTTATTTTAACATTCAGGACCTCTTGTGTGGATGATGATAAAAAGAAAGAGAACGTAATTGATGCCAGTGGTGATTTAAAATTATTTGTGCTTCTGATTTGCAAATAAAAAACAGGGCATATAAATCTCTCCCAGCTATTCACTGATCCCAATTTGAATTGGGGTTTGTGTGCTTATTCTAGAAGTTTTGTTATAGACTGCACATGATGCACTTTAAACAAAAAACTTCCTAGTACACTTTCTGGGTGCTACAAGACTGCTATTTTTATTTCCTGATAAATGGATATAAAGTTGCTATCTTGTCATTTAAATATTAGCATCTCTATTTGGGATTAGCAACACTTCTATATAAAGTGGTGCCTCGCATTATGATGTTAATTTGTTCCAGCGAAATCGCTGTAGAACAAAAACATCGTAAAGCGATTTTTAAAAACCCATAGAAACACATTAAAACCCAATTAATGTGTTCCTATGGGCTTGAAACTCACCGTCCAGCGAAGATCCTCCATAGCATGGCCATTTTTGCTGCCCATGCAGTGAGGAATCCGTCCCGGAAAACAGCGGGCGGCCATTTTTTTACCCATCGGCCATTTTGAAACCGCCTATCAGCTGTGCGAAAATCTTCATTTTGCGATAATTGGTTAGCAAAGCAGGTAATCATCGCAAAGCGAAAAAACCCCATAGGAAACATCGTTTTGCGATCGCTTTTGCGATTGCAAAAACTTTTTCGTTATGCGATTTCTTCGTTAAATGAAGTGCTCATCTTGTGAGGCGCCACTGTAATCTCATTTTACATCCATTTTTCAAGCCCCTATAGTTACCTGAAGGCTAAGGTTAACGTTATTTTAAATATCTCAGTTTTATAATGCTATATTTGTGTAAACTAGCTGGATAGCTCAATGGTTTAGGTATCTGGATGCAATTATCAGTACTTTATTAAGGATTTTGTAATTGTAAAATATACCTTTCATTTCCTTTGTAATGGAAAGCACAGTGTTCATATTGGACTTGATCCATAGTATGGAATAATCAATTGAAAAAGATACCTTGAAAACTATTATTCTCATTAGATATTACTGTTGGCTTTTCTGAGGGCTTACAGCCCTAATGGGATGTTATTGCCCCCAAATCTCCTAAGGGGACTTTAAACTTGGTCTTTAAACTTACCCTTTTTGGTTATAAAAAGGGTAATATTATTTTGGAACAGTGTTCAGCTCTAGTTTTCACAAGCACAACTCAGTAGATTTATGAAAATAACTGGATGCTTGCAAAAGTCTACTAAATCAAATTTGGTTTTCTGAGAAGACCAGGACTTTGGAATTGATGCTTAAAGAGATTCGATGTACTGTATGGTCTATTTGGTTACGTAATGACATTTAGGTTTGTTTCCTGAATGTGCTGTATTCTTTATCATCAGTTGATCATGACACATTTACACTGTAATTGGCCTTTAAACAATATTTAGGGCAGGGCTTGAAAAGGCTGAAGAAAAATTCTTTTTCACTCAAAAAAGCTTGCAAACTTTGTATTCAACACAGGTGTGTTCTCAGAGGTATTTTAGTATTCAACTATTTTTTTCTGGCAGCAATTTGTTCTCCAATGTTCATTAATGCAATGTTGTCTATATACTTTAGACTACAGTTCTCTTCATTCCCAGTTATTGGCCATGTTGCAGGTGATGGGAACTGCTGTATAGAGACATCTGGGGGGACCTGCACTTGGGAATGCTATGATAAAAGAATAAAGCTAATCAGTTACTATGTTTAAGTATACAGTGGTGCCTCGCTTAACGAGTGCCCCGTTTAACGAAAAAATCGCATAGCGATGGCTTTGTTGCCATCGCTTTTGCGATCGCACAACGATCTTGCCTATGGGGAAAAATCGCTTTTTTTAATTGGTTCAAAAAAAACATCGCTATGGGAAAACATCGTTAAGTGAAACGTGTTTTCCCATAGAGATGC